ATTTAACGTATTTAAAACTTTTTATGGCCTTAAGTTTGATACAACTCACTTTAGGAGTTTTTAAGGACCCGCGGGAGATCTGCATTTAAGATAGCCTGTCGGGCAGGGTGGTGATACATTTTGGTAGCCCGACTGGAAAACACAATAGCCCCGGGACGTCGGGCTAGCCATTTCGCGAGCCCTGTATTCAGTAATTAAATTACTTTTCAGACAGAGTAATTAGAAAAGTAATTTAAATACAATATTGATAATGTAATTAGTAATTAATTACTTTTTGAAAGTAACTTACCCAACACTGCTGAGCATGTTTTTCTGTGGAATAATGTCACTGAACATGATTTAGGACTCTTACCTTTGATCCCCTAAAGCTGCTTTGATGGCCTGTCTCTTCAGGAACGTCTGGAGGAGCTTCTCATTGGTCTGTTTGGACTCACGGCTCATTTCCTCCCTCCGCTGTCTCCTGATGGCCTGAGGATGTTCAGGATGTTGAAGCATCATTCCCTGTTCCACGCTCATTTTACATGCATATATAATGCTGCTAAAGCTCACCAGCGTCTGTTTCTTAAGCAGCGGTGCGTCTCCATCGTACACAAACACAGGTCTGATGCGGAAGAACAGCAGCTTACAGAGCCGATGGAAGAGCGTGAGGAGATGGGCGTTCTGAACCGCATTCCCATCGCGATCCCGCACACCTTTGACCGCCTGATTCAGCCAGATGCTGATATCTATGACGAGTGAGTCATGGATCCAAACAGTCAAATTTATACAAACCCTATTGTTTACTCACAGAATGGTTTTCATTAAAAGAGTAAATCCTGCAATAAAGGATACCAACAGCTAAGATCTTCCCCTCTAGTGTTTCTGGATTGATGGGTTTTCTGGTGCTCTCCAAAAGTTTCCACAGTCCATGAACTCCCATCACTCCTGCTCACATCTGCAAAAAACATGATCAACTCACTCATCTTTAACTTCTACACAATGTAAAGCAGAACCATGACAAGAAAGGTCTATTTCCACCACATAAGAAAAAATGCTTCTGTAAAAACTGTATTTATGAGAATAAAAAGTCAAAATTATGAGAAAGCTAAAATTATAAGAAAAAGCAGCAGTTATGAGAAAAATAGCCAAAATGTACAAAAAGTTAAAATTCTGAGAAAAAGACAAAATTATAAGGTAAAGTCAAAATGATAAATATCTAAATCATGAGATTAAAAAGTCATAATTATGAGGAAAAGTCTAAATAATGAAATAACGAGATTAAAATGAAGAAGAAGAAGAAGAAGAAGCAGCAGTGTGACCCCACGACCTTTGGGTTACAAGTCCGACTCTCTAACCATTAGGCACGATTGCCCCTTATGATTAACGATCTTATGATTTTGAGCATGATTTTCTCTTGTGTGGCGGACACTGTATTCCATACGACAGAGATTCGAATAGAGCAGAGTAAACTCTATGCAGGCTACTCAAGTAGAAATACACACAAATACATCAACAATACAGTGATAATAAATATATTATTTGTGATTAAAATGAGTTAAGTTAATATTGCAACAGAACGTTTCTGCGTATTGATGTTTCTAATAAGCTTATTTAATTGTAATATGCTTAAGAACAGTTGTTTAAATATTGTATAAAAATCTCCCACAGACCAGCTCACAGAATCAGAACCATAACAACCGGTTGACGCGTTCGGGCGAGTCCCCGGAAACACGTACCGAACACAATAGTTCCGACGCTCATCCGTTCCGCCGCCAGTGTTGCCAGATTGGGCGGTTGTGAATTTGATTGTGCGGATAAAAATTGGTTTGGGCGGGTGGACAAATTTTGGGATGGTTTGGCGGTTTTCAAACATCTTAATAGTATAGGCTAATTGGTTAACAAACAAACCCAAGTGTCCATGTACTGTTATTGTCATGGCGTTACTAAACACACGGCCACTGCAGATTCGGCTGATGCTGATGTTGACGTCGCCCGCCGCACTTTAGCCAATCATAGGGCTCCGTCCGATCCGTCAGTCAGAGCTGAGGGGGTTTAGCGCAAAAAGGAATCAGATTTTGAATGTATCTGTATATTCAAGTGATCACTATGCCAGAGTGGCCTAAAATAATTGCACGGTAAAGAGTGGGAGAGCGACTCGACTCTCAAAACTTGAATTACTCCTGTGGAGGGAGATGACAAGAAGGCTCTAATCTTTGTAACTCTAAAATCAGAGCACAAAATCATGAGACTGCCAAGTTCTGTGTTATGTTCTACAACATGTACTTCACGAAATACTTCCTCTATCTAGTTCTGATTAGCCTCGTACAATATGTATTGATGAATGACACCGTTTTGACTGTCATGGTGTGTTCATGAACGGGTGTGAAAATACCTGCTTATTACGTTGCTTATTCCGATCACTTTTGTTGGGAACTTTTTGAATTTAAATTGTCTTATTCTGACTGTTTACATTGAAAATATGGAAATCGTCCTTGCAATCTGGCAACACTGTCCGCCCGCGATCAGCTGCTTCCGGTTTCAACATGGAGCTTGTGAGCTCGACGCTCTGAGGTACGTGGCAAAATTCATTATGAAACCGTAATCCTAACACTAATCCTTTAGGAAGTTCATTAATCTCGGCATTATTTTGTGAGATTTCGAATTTTACATGACATCATCGGTTTAATTATCTAGAAGCAAGCGTTTGCTGTGTTCCGCAAACTAACCACAAACCAGATAAACGAACACCGATAAACAGCGCAAAGGTCGAAACTCTCTTTATCAGCACGTGTTTATGTTTTGAGAAATGTTTTGAGAAATGTCTCTATACATTTCTGTGCATAGACATCTTTTCGTTCCGCTGGTAAGTTAACTAGTTGTGTTGACTAACTAACGTAAACAGCCCATATTGTATAACAAAGATGAGTTCATCAGGTTTGATCCAGTCAGGACAATAAACTAGTTTAACTTGATTAATCCTGATTAATTAATGGTTATTTGTTTTTACTAGTCTGTTGATTTGTTAGTCACATTTTGATTCAAACTACTCCGAGGTCGTCTAACACTAAAAAGCTAGTAAACAATAAAATAGTCAACGTGTTAATGCTGTTGCATCTTGGAATTTCATTTAAAAATATACAATTTTGGCATGTGTTTATTAAAATATAATTTTTCTGCTCAGGAGTCATCTAGACTGTTGCATCATAAGATTTTAATAAAAATATAAATTTTTGTATAACAATTTGCATAAAATATAACATTTGTTTATTAAAATATTTGCTGTGCAGGAGTATCTAGACTTTTGCCTCATAAATTTGTAATATAATTTTTAATATAATCTAAATATAAGTTTTGTACACAATTAGCATAAAACATAGAAAAATATAATTTCTATAAATAAATTCTTAATTAAAATGTTTTTCTTATGGGCTGTACAGGAGTCACAAACTGTTGCATCGTAAACTTGTAATAAAAAAAATGAAACTGTGCATAAATTTGCATAAAATGTCAAATTAGTTGTTTGAAATGTTGTTTTTCTATGCATGAGTCATCTAGACCAGTGGTTCCCAACCCTGGTCCTGGAGGCACCCCAACACTGCACATTTTGCACGTCTCCTTTCTCTGACACACCAATTTCAGGTCTTGAAGTCTCTACTAATGAGCTGATGACCTGAATCAGGTGTGTTTGATTAAGGAGACATGCAAAACGTGCAGTGTTGGGGTGCCTCCAGGACCAGGGTTGGGAACCACTGATCTAGACTGTTATATGTGCAGCATTTAAAAAATAAAGTTTACATATAAATTTAAATTGTATTATATAAAATAATTTTTTATTAAAATGTTATTTCCCTGTGTAGAGTTCATCTGTTGCATTATAAAAATTTTTTTGCATGAAATATAACATCTGTTAATTAAAATGTGATTTTTTTTTTACAGGTGGAACCTGTGTCATCTTGACTGGAGATAATAAGGGCCCCTGACTGCAGCCATGTCTGCTGAAGTAATCATCAAAGGTGAGTTCATCCGTCTGTCATTTGCTGATATACAGTTCAGTGACTTCAGTCTGAACATCACACACATGCAGAATACAGTAAATCTCTCTGATGTCTCCTGTCTCAGATGTGTCCGTGGTGGCGGTCCGTGGCCCTGGCGATGGCATGGAGACGGACAAGCCTCCGGTGGCCCCTGAGCTCTCCACAGAGGCTCCGCTCCTGAAGCTGGGTACTCCGAAGCACAGTCCAAGAGTGGTGGCAGCAGCGGTGCAGTCACCGGGAGTCTTGCACCTGGGGAAGGTGAGCAGAGATGCGTGTATGGAGGTGGAGGCCGTGAGGATCGTGGTTCCCCGGGCCGCTATCAGCCGGAGCACTCATGTGGGGCCTCACACTGAGGACAGAGGATCCCCTCAGCATGGGGATGAGCGTCCACCATCACCCTCCTCAGAGCCGCTGGACTACAGGAGCGCATTGGACAAACTGCAGAACTCAGAGCGCCGTCTGCTGCAGGACAAAGAGGGGCTGTCCAACCAGCTCAGGGTCCAGACGGAGGTCAGACACTCGCTTATACTGTGTAATAATCAACATAGAATGGCTTTATGTTTGCCACATACATTTCTGACTGTGTACACACAGTGGATGCATTAGTTTGACTTTAGATTTGAATATAGAATTGATCTATATTACCGTTCAAAAGTTGGTTGGGATTGGTTTTAATGTTTCTGAAAAAAGTCTCTTCTGCTCACCAAGGCTGCATTTATTTGATGCAGAAAAATATAGTAAAAAC